TTAATAACAAAGTTGAAATTCGATCTTCAACTGTTAATACCTTCTAGAAATTTTCGAAAAAAAAATTTTCAATATTTTTCTCGTACTCCCCAAGGAAGCCTCTATCACCCCTTAAAAGGAATGACGCCAATTTTAAATCACCCTGTATATCCAAAAACTAATCTTTATATTTTGTCAGCTGTTTGAAAAGTATTGCAAATTGCTTGGTTTCTTTTCGGGTTGGCAAAAAACGATGTATTCAGTACTTCCTATTTTTTAAATAATGTTCGTAGATGTAATACATGGTTATGACTTCGTCTACGTTCATTTTTTAAATGATTATTGATTTCTGAGTTTTTGCCGAAATTGATTGCGGTTTTCAGTTGGAAGCCGCGGTTACGATTACAGTTAAACGGAATGCGGTTACACGAAGGTCCAACCGCATACTACGACAGGTCGCATCACGGGGGCTTAGTGCATATGTGCCCTTAGGGATTTAACATATTGAACTGATTACTGAACGTACCTGTTCGCCATTGGCACTGACAGCGTCACACAGCATCTTCAGTTATTGACAGACATATACAAATCAAAATAAAGGGACATAACCCTTTCATAAACAACAAAAATTGAAATGACTATAAAATAAGGTTTGTTCTAATAATATGGACAACGACTTCAAAATACAGTCCAGAGATTTTCCCAATATATGTAGAGTTTGCCTCATCACTGGTGACTTGAAGCCTCTGATCGAAGGAAGCCTTTCTGAGATATTTAAGGCCGTCAGTGAAATTGAGGTACGATTTTTCTCTATAACTTTTTAATAATTGCGTGAGATAATAGTAAAACAGTTCAATTTAAACCTACAAGTAGTAAGCCTTCTATATAATATGCATTTAATGTAAGTTAAGTCATTAATTATAACTTCAATCAGAGATTTGTTTTGTAAATTATATAATTACTATAATTGTATAGTAATTATAAGCCCAACGACAGTTAGATATATCTACCCTTTAAGCGCTTTCCTAATGTGTTTATGATTCACTATAGAAGTATATCGTTGAATGCTTCACCGCATACAATGAATTAGTTCGGTTTTCTATTAGAAATCATTAAACAGTATCGTTGTCTCAATACATATATGGTGCAGATGTTTTTTCTTAAGTTGTGCTACCTCTTAAACAGATTTCCAATAAGAAGATTGTAAGTATTGTAAGTGTATTATTATAGATTTCCACTGAAGATATATTACCTAAAAACGTATGCATAACATGTTCGAATTATCTTCAAGAAATAAAAAGATTTGGCGAAAAATGCAAAGCAAATGACGTTCTTTTACGACTAGTTGTTAAAACAGAAGAAAAAGAATGTAAGCTGAATATATTAGATAACGATCTAAAGGAACTAGAGTATGGATTAGACTTTGATGACGGTAGTGCCGACAATGATATTGATGATTATGAAAATGATAGTAATTATGAACCAGATCGAGTTAGTCCAAAAATTAAAGACGGTGAGTTCAACAGTTTTTTAATGCTTATTTGTGTAACAATTATAGTTTGACTATTATTCATGCACGATTATGAAATTTTGCACGTAGGCCTAGTGGTCTAAGCGCATAATAATAACGATTATTTTAATTATTTTGAGCAAAAATGTGTTGATCTGGTCGCCTGACTATTTATTTCGACCAGTCCCGGTTTTAAAATGAATAATTTTTTAATGTTAATTTTAATGTATAGTTCTAGTAATTTGTTTATTGTGTTGATTGTAACTAGTTAATTTGTTTGTAACTAGTTAATGTATAGTAAGTTTTAACGTTTTATTTGAATTCAAATTGTTAGTACGTTTCATGTTACTGTTACTGTTTCCCGTCGTGCTTTTTATTTCTCTGACCGCCTTACCACTGGTTGGCCTGCTTTGTTCTACACTCTTGGGAATGTTTGCTTATATTTTGACGACGGCCCTGATGATGACGTAATTGTCGAAAGCGCTTGCCATATTCGATATTCAAGGGTTGAATTAAATCATACTCTTGAATATACAGGGGGTCCCGAAATTAACTGGCCAAACTGAAACAGTGAAATCTGCTCTCAAAAATAATACTAATTTTTCAATTGAACATGTATCGCAAAATGCTACCCAACGGAGCTACGCCTTCTTGAATAGGGGCCCAGTAGTAGGGTTTTTTGCAAATTATTTCTAAACAGTTAAACTTCAAAACGTAAACTTTAGGAACTTTGGTAATTTTGATATGTTGAATCCAGATCTGAAATTAAAACTGTCAGAATTTCATCAGAGACGTATCCGAAATCAATTAGTTCGATGCATTGCACGTGGCCGTGCGCTGAAAATGATCCAAAATTAAAGGCAATTTGAGAAAAAAATATATTTTTTTAAATTGACCCCCACCCTTTTTTCGGACAAAAATCAAAATTTTACATGCGTGTTTTTTGTGCTCAATCGACTCCTTTCGACGTGAGAAGGTCAGAAATATGCATTTATATTGTGTTTGGGCCAATAATAAGGAAAAAATCGTCGCCCAAAAATCGCGAACTCTCAAAAACCGCTTTAAATGTGCAGAAAATGTCTATTATTTCGGATTTGAAACTTCTAGCATGTTTTTCAATTAGTTCGATGCATTCCCCGTGGCCGGCATTTTGAGAAATTTTTAATTTTTTTTTAATCGACGTGTTTTTTTTGCTCAATCGCCTCCTTTCGACGTGAGAAGGTCAGAAATATGCATTTATAAAGTATGGTATACCAGCAAATGTCAAGCGGACGAAAATTTTTTTAACAAATGCTTATGCTCTGATATCTACTATTTGTTTCCAGTAATGGTGTATTCAATAGAAGAAATGTACATTTTTGACGGAAAGAAAATCTCTTTTTTTGCAATCAGAATTTGACTACGGAACGATACTTAATTCTGCTTCAAAATTATTTCGAAGAAGCCCTCGATAATCTGCCTTTATCCGAAGTACGCGATTGTTGGTTTCAGCAGCACACTCCACAAGCCGCAATTCAAAAAGGGTTAAATAATATCCGTCGGTTTGATTCCCACATAGACACTTACGCATTGTCACCCGATATAATTTCACTGAATTTTTTTTGTGGGGTTATATCAAAAATTTTCTTTTTGAGCTAAGTTTTGCAACTGAAGAGGAACTCCGTAGATTGGTTATTGCATTTTTTGAAAATGAGACGTTAGAAATGCTGAGACCTGTTATAAAGTCGGCAGTTAGAAGATGCATTTTGTGTTTAGAAAACGAGGGTAATATTTTCGAACATTTGATATACATTTCTTAAATTATTTTTTGCATTTCTTTTTAATAAATATTAAAAAAAAATTAAATTGAATTTCAATGCATAGCCTGGACTGTGGACTGGACTATCGGTGAAAAGACAGGCCCGTGTTTATAATTTTTCTAAGCTTTATTAAAAAGCCGATCAAAGGATGACTAAATTTCAATATGTTATACATCGTTGAAATGAGAATGAAAACGCCTTTCAGCATTTGCTAACAAAAAAACAAGCCCGTATTAAGAAAAATAAATTGAGGACGGTTTCTTGAAAAAAACTGATATGGTGGTATTAATGCTGACTTAAAGCTGCCATGAGAAAGCGTGCTCGGGTTTGCTTCAGTTTTGAGATTAACGCCAGAAAAAAAATTATACTGAAATTCGAAAATTTAAGTGTGTTCCAAATATGGGGTAAACGAAAATTCGTAGCAAAGAACTGAAAGCGCCATTTCATTAGTCTTTTCATTGTCCGCCTTTTTTCCTTTGAACCAACTTCGTATCATTTGGACACGGTTTATATTTTCACTCAAATAATCATTACAATAAATCTTTATAGTTGTAAATAAAATATTGTACGTCACACACAGGACATTATATTATAGTGTATAGGACATCACATAGGACATTATATATACACTGCACTTACGTGTTTACGCGACTCGTCCTACGACCTCAACATGCAAATATTTTCATGCGTGTGATCCCTGCATCTTCACAGATTTTCATACTTGTTACGTAAATAATTATTAGATAATTGTGTAAGGGTGATGCTGTTTTAGAAGAGGAAGAACCCTTAAAGAAAAGAAGAGGGCGAAGAAAAAAACGCTCTTCAGAATTCAGAAGGTCCTCCAAAGGCAATACGAGAAAAAGACGGAAACTCAGAAAATCCTCAGGCGATGAATCTGAGGAGGAAGATGATAAAACAAACAGTGTCATTCCAGCCTGTAAAGCTTGTGGGGGGACATTTACAAGCAAGACAAAATTGTGTTCACATTACAAAGAAAATCTCAATTGTAGGCCGAAGACTTTTAAACTATTTAAGTGTGAAATTTGTGAAAAAGGTATGTGTTACTTAAACGTAGAGGGGCAAAACGCTCACTTAAAACACTGTTTTAGAGTTCTCGACAATTCGTAGACGTAATGAACATATGAACATTCATACTGGTGAAACTCCATATATTTGTAACTATTGTGGAAAAGGCTTTCAGTTGTATCCTGCTCATTTCAAGCATGTATACCGTCATAGATTGGCGTTGGGAGAAGTTGAACTTAAGCCTGGATACATGGAAAATAGAGTTAGGTGAGGTTTATAATTGTAGTTTTTAGGATAGTGGCTGAAACAAGTAGCTTTTTTTCTCTAAAAGGGGATAACTATACGGTTTACAGTAATAAAAGAAATAATAAGTAAACTTTCTATCTTAGAGCAGATGATATAATTGAATCTGTTACTTCTTAAAGATGCTAAGTCGTGTTTTGCTACTTTACTGGAAATAAAAAAAATCACTACACATTCTAGAAGAAATGATGAAAAAGTTTTTTTTTAAATCTGTGAATGCATATCTAAGATACAACTTTGAAAATTAGTTTTATTACTCTTGATTAAAAAAAAACGATTTGTCAACTTTTTGTTTTGATAAATAACGCTTTAAAGTGTTTAAGAAATGAAGTCACTGCTTTAAACTAAATTTTTGTTTTACTAACAAGGTACTTCTACAAAAAGATGAAACAATTGTTTAATTTGTTTATTTTTATGATATTGCCTTGTATTTTTCTTATTAGTATGTGCTAAAGAAAAATGACTTCCTTTTTTATTAATAGTCGTGTGGTTTCCAAATGTTTAAATTTAGTTTCAAGTATGGGTAATTTTCCTGGGCAAGCTAATCACTATTCCAACGAAGGAAAAGTTACATTCATATTTTTCGATTTTCTAGGCTGTTGCAAACTAAAAGTGTGCATTGTAATTTCGTTAATCCATTCCACATGATTTATCAAATCTAAGCTTAGAAGAAACGTGTATAAAGTGATGAAATTTGGATAATAAAAACATACGTCTTCCTGTCGTTTCTTTGTCAAGTGTTGTGTCTCAACAGATGCACAATACTTTTTATAATAAATTGGCCAACTTTTAAATCTAATGTCATATCAGGGCGGATCTTAGGAATAGTAGTTTTGTTATTTGTTTTATTTCTGTAAATTGATTTATGGTTAAATTGCGGTCATATGTCCTTAAGTTTCTTTAGATCAAACCAAAATCTGTCACTGTCAGCTGTCACATGACAAGAGCGAATGTCCGCCTATGGGAAAATGGTGTCCTTCCTAGAAGTGTTTTAAGCACTAAATAGACCCATAAAAATATGCAGTTAAATTAATTTAACCAGTTCGATTGAAGCTAAAATTCACTTAGGTGGCTTACGTAAGAACCAATTAATGAAGTTGATACAAACCACTATTCAATTACAGTTGATCAAGTGTAACAAACTGAGTCAATATTTTAGCTGTCCCTAATTACTTAACTGCTTAGTTTGAGTGTAAGTTGTGCCTAGAATTCGTACACGATTCGTTTGGCACAAAAGCTTAATTTTTCTTTTATTGAGAAGTAGTCCCAGTTTAGGTAGAAATAATTCAAATTTTTCTACTCTGACTGAGTAACAGAAACGGAACAATCGTCAAGTTTATAGTATTTTCTTGCGCCCAAATCAATCTGAACAGTCGACAAGTTGTAGTATTTTCTTGTGACCAAATCAGTTTAGTGATCGAAGGGTGTATTAAGATTAGGGCTCGGAATTTTTAAAAATCTGAAATGTGAATACTCGTTTAGGGGTTTATTCGAATGGTAAAATTATTCGAATATTCTAATATCTAACGAATATTCGAATAATCGAGTATTCGTTTTACGTTCACCGTTTTCCAAGAAGAAAAATCGTTATCTCATATCATTTTTGGCAACTAGCCGCAACGGATAAGAAAGTGCCTTTGTCGGCACATTAATTGTCACACCGCGCAAAAGTTGATGACGCGAATCACCAGAACACAGAGACGTAATTTTATATTCATTTGCAGGAAGGTAAATGATTATTTTCATTTGCTTGTAAATATGGGTATTTGTTTAAATACTTGTAGAATATGAATCATTTATTTTATAAAAGTATACAAAGTGCATATAAAGATATTTGCACCTTGTGAGTTTGATAATGTTGATGGATTCGAGTATTCGAGTATTCGACTATTCGAGTATTCGATTATTCGAATATTCGAATATTCGAGTTATGACTACACATAATTATTCGCTTTTTGAATATTCGAATACTCGAATTATTCGAGTTTGATTCCCAGCCCTAATTAAGATAACTTTCCAATAAAATGAGAACCAGCACTCGACACACTTTGTGTGTAGAATACCTTGTTTAGGCGCAAGAAAACACTCCAAACAAGCGGTACTGTATATTCAAAATTTAATTATCATCTTCTTCTCTTCTTCTTCAGCCCGTCTACTCGTGAGTGAGCCCGGTTGGCCGTAAAGTTCTTTGTAAATGGATGGATGTTATTTGCTGCCTCTCTGTAACAACTTCTCCTTGTTGGTTCCTAATTTAGTATATGAGCAACGTTCCTTTTGTTCTTTTCGATCGAAGTACTTTCATATTCATTTTGTTCTCGATAACTTCGTTTATTGTTCGTGTATTATAAGGTCTCATGTCCTGTCTAATTACCTTCTTTACTTCTCTATCCAGCGTTTGATATTTTGCTGAATCTCTATCCGTTGTTCTGCGTGCTGCCAGTAGTTAATTGGTGTTCTGGCTGAGTTTCGTATCAGCTCTTGCTTTCATGGAGCATACTTCCTTGGTAGTACTGCTCACGACTTTTCCGGCGTTGAGTGTCATACTTCTAAGAGCTCCTGTTGGTTCGAAATTTTTGTTGATTTGTGCGTTATAATCCTCTATATTCTCTAAGTTGGGACGCGGTTGGCCGAATGATTTTATCCATTTGTTTTTCGTTTCCAAGTGTGTGTTTATATTTATTATGGCTCTTACGATTCTGTGGTGACTTCCGGTAGTAAAACGACTTAGTACATCATACACGGTACATCCATGCAAAACTTTTTATCTGTAGTGAGGACATAATTTATTACGTTCTTTATAGCGCCAACTGGACTTCTCCAAGTCCATTTTTTTAGGCAGTTTCTTAAAGAATGTGTTCGTGCAGCGCATTTGTTCTTTGTTCAGGAAGTCAAGCAACATTTTGCCTCTATTATTTCGTGTTCCCGGTCCAAAGTTACCGAAGATCGAGCCGTCCGTCGCAGTAGTATTTTGGTAGAATTTTACTGTTTGAATATTCCAAAAAATAGGTCTCCATTCAAATGTCCTAAGACAAACCTGTGCATAATTCTAACTTGTGCGGGATTGTATGAGAGTATAAAATAAATTGCTTCTACTGGCAAATCCATTAATTACATAGATTGGATAATATTCTTATAATAATTATAAATAAATAATTCGTTACAAAACAAAACTTGTTGAAAATGTAGCCAAACAACACCTTTTTCACTCTTTACTAGAACGTTCTTGATAAAGCTACATTTTCTAATCATGGTAGAATCCTTGGGACACTTTTTATTCTTACGTCGTTATTTTTAACAATTCGATGTTGTTGAATTGAGCTAACGTTCTTTGAAACACTGAGTATTGTGATGACCTCTGTTAAGAAATGTTTAGACATTGGAAATTGATGTTGATAATTTAAGCTTGAATAATGGCCCTTTTTTGAAATGTCGGCTTTCGAAGGGGGACAGAGTTCGACGAGGCTGGAAACGCGTTAGGAGTTTAACTTACAAACTTTTTCGCCTTCGCGTTAAAAAATACATATTTTGAGTTTGAAATTACATTTTATACCAATACCAAAATTCAATTTCTGCAACTCTGTTAATCCCATGTACAAAACACTTTCACTTCCACCACCTTGGGTTAAAATATTTTTAAGTTTTGGTCTAGTTTTATCATATTTTTTGTCTTTACGAAACACCTCTGCTTCAATTTTAATTTTTTCTCCGACATTTTCAAAAATTATTTTCAGTTTTTTGACTTCATCTCGGATGGCAATATTATTTTTTGTGCGATTATAAGAAATAAAACGAATAATCATATGTTCTAGATTCTAAAAAGCGTAATATTTCTCAAGTAGCACATATGTTCCAAATAGTAACGACATTTAATAAATAATTAAGCTTCTGGTAAAGCAATGAATAGTAAAAACTACTAGACAGTGACCAGCATTTGAGTGGCATTTTGCGTTTACGGCACACGATGCGGGAAAAAGTAAAAAGCACAATTAAAGTGCTTTTGATGATTGCTTCCGTGCGAAAACTGGCGGTTTTGGATTCACTCGAATAAAAAATTATCTGTTTATGATAATATAAAAATCCGATAATCTCAAAAATCAAATAGTTTATCCGCAGTCTTCCATGTCGTATACCTGAATAACCCTGTATAATTGCAGTTGCCACTTTACCTGAAATCGAAATTTAAGACAAGAAGATTAGACAATACTAGACAAAAAATGTCTATCATGTTGTTATTCTGTTGTTATCAAGAACATTATCTTGATATTATCTAATTGTTACTCCTGTTAAAGTTTGGAAATTAAATTGCAGGCTTAATTTAAAATGCGAACTGTGTCCAAAAGTATTTGCTAGCCGATCTGGATTTGCAAATCATCAACTAATTCACCAGGGCGTCAAAATTCAGTACAAAAAGCGACCTAAGAAGGAAGATACTCTGAAATTGAAAAACTATCTTTGCAACTATTGTGCAAAAAGTTTTAGGACTAAAGTTCAACTGGAAGGTCACATAAGAGGCCATACAGGTGAAGTTTTAAATTGGTTGAAGGATAGTTAATGAGAAGTAATGTTTAATATAGGGGAACGTCCATTTGCTTGCTCTTTCTGTCACAAGTTTTTCAAGACAAAAGCAGCTCTAAAGACACATGAAATGAATCATTTGGGAACAACACCACAACGATTTAAGTGTGAGACATGCAATAAGCCATTTTCGCTTAAAGCTCACTATGAAGTGCACAAAAGAACACATACAGGAGAGAAGCCTTTTTCGTGTCACTTTTGTGGAAAATGTTTCAACTATCGAGGAACTTGGCGGGTAAGCATCCACAACAATGATTAAGAAGTTGAGTTTTAAGTATATGGAAGATTTGTTCCAATTTACATTTTTTAAATTGTGTATTTGGCTTGATACATAGTAGCGCCTCAGACCGATCATTGCTAGAACGTAGGAGACGTATTTTTTACAATTTGGCGGTAAACATCCCTATTTTTCAATTTGGCGGCACAGATGGATACTTTATTTGCGCTTTTTTTGAACACATATTTTTTCAATAGTTGTGTGCCGCTTACTATACAAGTTTCTACAATACAAGAGATTGATCATAAGACATAATTCCGTGAAAACGACAAGCTATCTTGCGAAATTGTCGAGTAAGTAGTAATGCTTTTAGTCTTATCAGGTATAACATAATATGCAATTTCCAGTTGAGTTTAGTGCACAAATCTTAAATTGAAATTTTGGGTCCAACTGGTTTGGGTTTCTCTTCTCTGTTTTCGATATTATATTTCTTAGACGAGTCTAGTTTCTATTTTCTCAATAACTCTCTAATAAGTCCATGGTTTGTTTTCTCCAATTTCGCCTCTCCATATCTGCGGTAGGGATGATACTATACTGAGAAAGTATCGATACTTTAATAAATAGACCAAGCTAGTCATTCATAAATCCCTATTTGTTTCAGACCAACATTAAATTCTACCGATCGGCGATTTATCAATGAGAAACAGGTGGTAGGGATGAAAGTTTAAAAGTAGGTACCGATCAAAGAGTAGAATTAATCGAAAAACCAACTCGCCTGGCCGCTAGCCATAGACGTAGTACATATCTGTATTAACTTAATGACATTTGCTTGCCGCTTATGACAAACTAAAAAATATAACACTAAATGTATTCATGGCTACCGTTTTCCTGCTATTTTGTTGTTGATGCTTGTCATATTTATCAAATTGATTACCGAGTTGGCAAAGCAGCTTTCATATTTACCGACTTTTCCTATGACAGTGAACCATTGTCCCTCCCAACGAAAAACGTAAACAAATGCATCTGTTTAATCTGAGGTAGCAACCAAATCATCTTTCAATACTACTCATACGAGTATTCTGAAAGTATCGATACCATTACCTACTCACAACTTTATTGTGTAAAACATAAGTTCTATATCGTTGAGGCGGATTCATTTTTTACAAAAGTTTTTTTGGGTATTTCGCCTCAAAAATTTTTGTCTTTAAAAAAGACAAAATTTCCTCACGTCTTTTATTACAGATTGATAAATAGTGCTCCTATTTCG